CTCCCTTTTGGGTTTTGAGAAGTTGGTGAAAAAGTTAGTTTCAAGCCCTAAATGTCTTCAGTCACCATCGTCTATTCTAAATGTTACCTTGTTTCTCCCTTCCTAAATGACAGCAGACCTAATCTAAAACCATTACTGGCTAGCATTAAATATATATTGTTATCCAGTAGAAAATAATGCAGTGGAGTGACAAACTACCCCGCTGTCCCTTAAACACCAGTCACGTTGTGAAATCTACATCAGAACACAATGTATTTTTCTATTTCATTAATAATAATTGAATTAAACATGACTTTTCTTTGTTTTCATATCAGCACTATATATCTGCTATCGGCCATTGAAAAACCCGTATCGTTGACCATTAGCTCTGAGGTCACTGCTTTATGCAAAATTTTTGGTGATAGTTGTGACATCTAACTTTGAATGCTTCATAATTTACAGCAGGAATTATCAATGATCAGGTGACTACTTTACAAAGCACACAGTTCACACAAAAGGCTAAATAACTCCTTTTAAAAATTAAAAACTGTCACGTACCAGTTGGAAATGTCCTTGTGTGCAACCAGGTTTTGCAAAAAGGCCTGTAATCCCAACTGTCTGTCTTCCAGGAAGTCGCTGTCATAGTTGTCTTTGAACCACCGCTTGGGAGGTAGTGAGAGGCGGAAGCCTGGGAACATCTCCTTCAGCTAGAACACGCAAATACAGACAGAGCCAGGGATGAGTATCACATGATCTATCCGTACGTTTACAGCAGTTACAATAACGAGGTTATTGTCATGCATGGACATAACGCAGAGACAAAAGTGGCAAACTTAGTGATATAAGAAAGATAGTACATGCTGCTGCTCCCTGAAACACTCACACTCTACTTCTGCATTACATGCTCTTATCAAATAAATAATGAATATATTATATATAATTTATTACAGCATTAAAAATATGATCATATATTTCAAATTACAGACTAGCACAGATTTGTAAAAAAAAGTTCTATTGTGTGAAAATGCGCTTCAGAATTATGTTAACAGGAAACATGGGGGAAGACAGTCTCCTTTTATCACTTATCACAAGCTGAATTTCTTCTGTCTGCATATGTTCATAGTGTTGTGACAAACCACACTGTGCCGGTGCCATAATGCTGTCAAGTAAAGCTGGAGTCATGCACCTTTGCTACCAATACCGATATCAATATTTGAATGTTTAAGAAACATTTGTCCGACAATAATAAATTGGCCTTTTATACATTTTCTACATAAATAAATATTTTGATAGGGATCCCTTTAAATGAGCTATTTATCAGTTGTAACCACAAAGCAGCACATTTGCATTTGAAAAAATATTTCTATTAACTCAAACATGTCTTTATTATTTCTGTACTTAATTTTTTTAAATTACAAGTGGACATATACACAAATGCCTATAATCTGTAAAAAAAAAACCCTGACAAAACTAAAGCTATTAGCAGCCAATAATATCAGCTTGCAGATATTACCATACTGACTTGCTGCTGTGGCTACGGTCGCTCCCCCCTTCACCTCTGGCAACGTATCAATACTGGTGTGCCAGGGTGAGAATGTCGCCACAGACACTAGATTTAAAAAATGAATACAGAGAGATTTTTCTGGCAGCGATCAGCACAGTTTGAACGCGTTTATCAACGGCTTGAATGTAACGGCCATTCATTTATATGTAAAAGTAACACACGCCTTAAACCATTTAACCCTGAACTCCATGCTGCTGTGTACACAGAACTCAACAGCAAATAATGTACATAATACAATGTTTCAGTGTCTAACACAGCAGGGGGGGATTGCATCATTACACCAAAATGTGAATAAAAGAGTTGTGTAGTTGTGTTCTCCTCTGGAGAACACTGAGATATTTTTTATAGACATTAGGATCCATTTTTCTGAAATGAAAACTTGTCACTATACCATCATAAATTAACTCAATCCAAAACCAGTTGCTGCTCTTTATCAAGAACTAGGACTGTCCACTTCCTCTGTACTGTCGGTAGTCACTTTTAAATCATTGTTGCGTGCATTTCAAGAGGAATTACAAAACATTGCCAAATGCTTTTACTGCACAAACTTACTTAACTGTTGTTTGCCTTGCCTCCCTTGAGTCTACTGTTCATTGTCCTGTGCTGACTGCCTTTACTGGAGCCTGCTGAGTTAATCATGCCTATCGCCAGCCTTCACTCCGGGTGTAAACATTAAAGAACTGCTTGGCAATTTACTAAATCTTCAAAAAAGAATTTTTGACTACATGTTGTCATCTTCGGGAAATACTGTAGTGATAACAGGCCCTGATGTCAGTTTGCTCAGCAGGAGGTGGAATGGTGTGTGCACGTATGCACACCTCCTTGTTTTGACAGTCGGTAGCTTGAGCTACAGCTATGTGCATAAACTTGGAATAGGGCAATGCTCCACACTACTACACAAAAAATGTTTGGTGCCAGCCACACAGTGTGGGGAAGTGCTGCGTATTTAAAACCGGATCATGTATTGACCATGCTAGGTTTCTCTGCTGCCGTTTTAGTTAATGACAGGCGCTTGCTCAGCCTTTGGCTTGTGTGTGAGGTTCACACGCAGCAGGCAAGCCCTCTTAAACAACTGTAACTTCACTGCTTTTTGCAATACTTCTTGATGTTACATATATGAATATCATCAAATGTTTGTACTTTTGTGCCAAACTGATTACAAATGCACTTGGTGTTGAAACATTTCCCGACTGTTAAATATATGACCAATGAGGTCTTTACAATTACAGTACGTGCATGGCAAAAGACCATCCAGTACAGTGTGAAGATTACTGCTGCCTCTGTGGAAAAAACCACAGGAATGGAGAAAAGGATGTCCACACCCCTTCTCTGTCCTCTCTCTCCTTGTTGAATGTAGGGTGTTCCCATAACCTGTGTCTCTATTCTTCTTGCCTGGGGTTACTGTGTCTGATTTAGTCAATTGTGCATTGCAGTAAAAGGTTTTATCAGTATTTTGTCGGCCTCCAGATATCATTTGTTGCAGCTTTCTAACCATCATCATTTGTTGCTCTAGGTTGTTTGTCCTCATACAGTGTCACACGGCTTAATATTTTTCCCTTCTGTACTCTGTGATTAGACTGTCCTTCCTGAAACCCCGGGAGACCTGTTCCCCTAGTTGGCTTGGGCCTGTTGGATATTCAGGAACAGAAGGCTTCTTTGTGTAGATCTAATCGCTTCCACAGTTCACTCAAAAACAAAAAGCAACCATGCTGAAAGCAATGCATTGATTAACAAGGGCAGATGATCACAAAATAAAGCTTCAATTAGTCCTAAATTTGGGACTGCGAATACCTTCCTCACAAACATGCCCACACACACCTTGTCGTTGAGTCTGGAGAAGTCTGTGTACCTTCTAAAAACAACCCAGCTCTCATCTGGAGTCTTCCTCACCAGGACCTTGAATACCTGCAGCAGAGATAAGACAACACACACACTGTAAAGCCCTGTTTACTGCAGAAGTACAGGACTTGTGAGAGATTGTCCTCTACCAACTTAACATGTGTGATGACTAAACATGATGCTTACAACCTAGAATCACATCACAAGACAGTTGTGCCACAGATACGATAAGTTCCAAAAGGCCGACGGGATGATATATAATCCAATTTTCTGGTTTCATACCGTGAACTTGGCCCTCTCTTCCATGACCTCATACCCTAGCAAAGTGGGGGTAATAGGCCTCTCCTCATCTTGCTGGCTGCCAGCAGGACCCGATATGGAGCGAGGACAGCTGGAGTACTCTATGGAGGGCTCTAGAGTCCCGTTCACCCTGGCCCGTGTCACAGTGCTCTGGTGGAGTGGTGGTGTCCTGCTCCGGTTGCCTCTGTCCATGCAGCGGGATTGTCGTTGGGAGCCTAATGCCTGGTCTTCCCCGGCCGCCCTAGCGATACAGGAAGAGGATGAGCTGCTGGAGACGCTGCCCAGTGATGAAGCTCGCTGTGGCCGGCTGAGGTTGCTGCTACCCCCTGACCAGGCTCTGTCCAAAGGCACAGGGACGGGCACAAAGGGTGATGCCATCTTCCTGAGCTGTGTGCTCCTGCCCTTGCCACCGCAGTAGCCAACAAAGCTTCTTCGCACCGACACTGACCTTGTGGCGGAGTGGTACTGTGTGATGATGAAGTGAAGCAGTAACGTTCACGCCGAAGGGCTGAAGAAGACTCTGAGTAAAAAAGACAAGAATCATTTGGTATGTACATTGTACTTATGATCAAAACTAACTACAAGCGTCCTAAATACAGACTGCAAAAATGGGATCGTAAGAATCCCATTGAATTTACTGCAATGGAGCAAAATCTGTCAGCGAACATAATCCTGAAATAAGGGTACCAGACTGCAAGGGCAAATGAATTATTGACAAGAGTGAGCTACATGTCATTCATCATTTATGAATTTCTGCATTATGTGTAAAGTTCATAATGGGAAAAGCATGTTAAGATCTGTACAAAATTAGCGTGTCAGATCATCTTGTCAACTGATTAGCTTTTCCTGTTCTAACTGAAATCTGAGCTGCAAAAGAAATGAATGAGCCATGATGCTTTAATTTGAGACAAAGGAAGAGGAAACTGCATGTTGGTTTTCATGGAAGAGCGCGGTCTGAAATCAATTAATGTTCAGACTGAGAGACTGGCAGCTACCTGTCAAACATGTTCACATTAGTTCAGCATCTGCGGAGCTTAGAGAAGCCAGCAACGTGCTTCGGTGGGACTAGAGTTTATAACCCTTAACAGGCTAGTAATACACATTTTATAGGGCGCATAGAAATATGTAAGGCCAGATGACACATCAACAACAACACAGAAGTACGAACTGTGTAAAAGATAAACATAAGGAGCTAACAAATGACAGATCTTGTTTATTGCTCACTCATGACTCGTGCAGCTATTTTGGTGCTTAATAAACATGACGAAACAGCTGGGACGAACCAACGTTACCCCCAACATGGCAACGAAACGCTCGCTGCCTAATATTGTGCTTCATACTTTTTAAGTCACATTTTGACATCAAGTTAAGTGGCTTGTGATGTAGCTAGCGCGCTAACCTAACTGCGATACGTTAGATGCCGTCATTTTACCAAACAGTATGAACTCCATTAACAAAATGTGCCAATGTGTTTAGTTAGCTAGCTAGAGTAACGTTGCTGTGCTTATTGATTCAGGGCTGGTAACTAGAATTGACATTAAAGTAAAACAGGTAGGCCTAATACAGCAAATACTGTTATAGGAAGCAACCACCAGGCAACGCAGTTTTTAATCATAAGTTGACTGCAATAGTTTCAGCTAACGTTAGCTTAACTAGCTAAGTCAGTTGACGTTACAGTTGCTTACCGTTACTATTCACAACAGTCCAAACAAACCAGGCTAACTAACATGTTATTGAAATAAGAGATTCTTATAATATAAGATTGATGCCGAATTGGGTTCCAGTTATACAGTTCGTCAACGGTATACTTTTATTGTCTTTCTGATAACTTATTTGGCCAATAATAAACAAGGCAAGGCTTAACCGATTAATTTCTACACGGCGTTTGGCGTGTCTTCCATTCCCTGAAAGACCCTGGCATAACGTCCAAGGCTATAACATTACCTTCGCCTTAGCTGGTAAGCTAGGACGGGCAGCCTATGTTGACAAAGCTAAGATTACGCATGATGACAAGGACTTAAGCTTACCGTAGAAGTCCCGTATCTTTCCCTTCAAAAATAAGTCTGATATACAGCCCGATGTCTGGTTGTCATGTTGCTGTTTATCCACTGCAGTATCTCCTCTCCTGTCCTCTTCATGTTAGCTCGCTTGAATTCAAACCACGACCGCTGCAGTGCTTTAAGATATCCACATGAGGGCGCTGTAACACATATAATATTGGACTGAACTGTAATACAATTCCGCAGCAAAAAATAGTTATAATTTGTCAGAGCATCCCATCTGGTCAGCACATGCAAACGCTACTAAAACTACTTTATTTACCCTGTAGATAAATTATGTGAATACAGGCCTATATAGTGCTAAATAACTGCTGTTATGTGAAGTAGCATGCCACTGATGATCCCTGGAGCAGCGCAATGAAACCAATGCACATACAAATATGTGTGTACGTCGGATTCCTTGCATGACAATGATTACACTTGCAAAGGTATTTGTTGCAAAGTTTTCCAGTCCTAACTTTGAGAAGCCCAGTTTGACACAGCAGTTTGCACAAGCTGCTTAACTTTTAAAAATTACAAATGCTCAAGAGCATCTCAAATTCACTTGACCTTTCCAGACAAATAGATGCTTTTGAACTCTATTCTGTTATGCCACAACATCAGCATCTGCACTGACAACAGATACAAATACTAGGCTCTGTTTAAACTATTGTTTTTAAGATGTGTTATATAAAACTGATCTTAAACTGGTTTTAATCAGTTGATTTATTTCTGGGACTCACAGTGCCTTCATGAATGAGAAAATCCCATTTGTATACATCAGTATCAGTTTATTCTATTCATTCTTATCTGGGGTGTCTAATAGCAGCTGTTAGCAGACAAATCACACCCACTGGCACAAGACATTTACCCAAAGCATAATATGGGCGGGCGTGGCATTCACTGATGGGTGTGATTTCTAGATACTTTCTCGAGCCACGGCAAAGCTCAAGCTTCCTTTAAGTGAATCGTTCTGGATATCTTGCTGACTTGAGGAAGTTTTCTGTGAGTAAGTATAGAACGTGCCAATTGTCACATGATTTTCATGATAAGAGTGACAGCAAGAAATAACCGGCTCCAGTCAGGCTTTGCGCAACTAACACTGCTTGATTTGTGCCCTTTTCAGCTAGTTTCCAAAGACAACAGTGATTGAGTAGTGATGAGCAATATCTCTGTGATTTTATTGAGTTTTACCAAGTACCGGGTGACATTTAACTTTGGTTTAAGAAGATTTAGACTTATGACCGAGTAGAAAAAAATGGGGACTTACACACTGGGGAAGGGATAGCATTGTTGGAGGACACTGCTAAGTTGTAAAATGTGGCTGTGGCTGAAGAAAAGAGATGGATTCCTATCAAATGAAACTTTTTTTAAAGCTTTTGTTATGATGTCAAATAATCAGGACAACACAATTGTCTAAACAGGAGAGTGCTACTTATCAGATGAAAGCATATAATACTACAGTTTGTAAAGAAAAATGCTCTTCTATCCTTTCTTTGTATTAGAGAAAATGACGACATCAACTCCTCTATCCAAGGCCAACACCACCTTCTCTCTGGCTTTGTTCAAAAAGCTGAGTGATGACGACAAGACTGCAAATGTCTTCTTCTCCCCTTTTAGCATCTCTTCTGCCCTGGCTATGGTGTTGCTGGGGGCCAGGGGCAACACAGCCAAACAGATGTCAGAGGTACAATACACACACACACACACACACACGTACACGCACGCACACGCACACGCACACGCACACACATGCACGCACGCACACTTAAATTCACACTGTGAAAATTAACAGTACAGAAGTTACAGTTCTTTTCCTAACACACCCATTTGGATTAAGTGTTATACAGGCACACGTTCAAATGTCATTGCAAGTCTGGATCTGGTTTCATCACCATATTATTGCATCCCAAGATTAATAAAAAGGCGTGGTTCAGTCATGTGCACTGGTAATCTTATGTATTCTTGACACAGAATGGCATTAGAGATGACAGGACGGTTTAGGTCAGATTTTTCACTAGCTTTGTCCAATATGTTCAAATGTTTGCAACTCTATATTGAAAACGTCTGATATCGTGGGACACATGGTAGAACCACAGTTGGCTGTAATTTGGGGCACTGGGAGAGACTGTCCTCATAGCTAACTTACACTATGTTGATCAAAGACGTTATGCAACACTTTAAACTGGAAAAACAGGTCAAATTTTTTTTTAATATATATTTATATGTATGTGTATTGTAAATTCTGTCCTGTTTTTGTAATATTTTATATAACTTATACACAGTGCTTACTGTTTTTCAACTAAAATACGAAAAAACAGACTTAAAAAAAGAATTCTCTCCCAAAAACCTTAACCTAGCTGACAGTGAGGTGTGGCAGGAGAAAATGCCTGCACAGGCATTATTTA